GAGCGTTTCAGTAGTGTGTGTGAGAGCGTTTCAGTAGTGTGTGTGAGAGCGTTTCAGTAATAATGTCCCTTACGGCACCTCATACAGTGGTGTGCAGGTGGAGTGACAGATGGGTTAAAGATGGGAGTGGGATACATCAGGGATCTGCTCCGAGCCCCTTCTTGTTTGCAGTGCTGATGGACAGGCTGACAGATGAGGTCAGAGAGGAGTCTCTGTGGACGCTGATGTTTGCAGACGACACTGTGATCTGTAGTGAGAGTAAGCTGCAGGTGGAGGAGAGCCTGGAGAGGTGGAGGCATGCTCTGAAGAGATGCAAGACAGAATACATGTGTGAATGAGAGGGTGGATGTGTAAGGAGTACAGAGGGTCAAGGTGATGAGCCTAAATACCTGGGGTCAGCCATCCACATAGACGGAAGAGTCCAGGTAGGGTGGAGTTTGTGGAGGAGGGTATCGGGGCGGATTTGTGACAGGAGGATGGCAGCGACAGTGAAAGGGAAGGTTTAAAGATAGAGCACGATCCAGCACACATGTCAGCACAAGGCATCGAGTCTCAAAATAAAACCAGCTTCAGTCTGTGAGCGTGCGCTGTGACGAGTCCACGGACGCTGCAGATTTCAGCTCTGAGACGAGGCGCTGCAGCTGTCCTGCGTTTTCTTTCCTACTGTTGGTCACCGGCTTCAGTCTGAGGAGACGTCAAAGTATGCATTACTGTGTTATTTATGATACGATCACATTATTGACACAGCATTGATCATGTTGTGTGTCACAGCTGTTGTGTAACGTGTTTCCTGGCTGTGTGGCGGCTGATCTCAGAACAGACGCAGCTTTTGTCTGAAGAGTGGAGGAGGAGGAAAAAGGTCGGCTGGAGGAAGCTGCTGTGACTCACTTCCTCCTCGGCCTTTGTCTTCCTGCAAGACGCTGCAGCCGTGTGTGTTTGTGTGAGTGTGTGTGTGAGTGAGTTATTTTTACTTTGGTGTTAGACACATGTTCTTCTGTCTTTCTCTGAGTGACATTCTGATGCTGACAGAGAGCTCTCCCCAGCTCCATCACACCTGCAGTTTTACTGTCACACCTGGACTTCAGTATATCTGCTGTGTTCACAGGCTCTTATTGTTAAAGGTCCAACAGGAAGCTGCATCTGCTTCTTAGTTGACATCTCCTGAACACATCACAGAGAGGTGACACACACTCTCACACACACACACACACACACACACACACACACACACACACACACACACACACAACAGACACACACCCACACACACACACACAACACACACACACAGACACACACACACACACACACACACACACACTCACACAGACACACACACACACACAACACACACAGACACACACACACACACACTCACACACACACACACACACACACACTGGCAGGATGCAGGGAGCGGCTGAAGTGAGGCGTGCTGCTCCGAGCTGGAGAGTTCTCCTTGTCTCATTGGCTGTGTGTGACTTCCAGCTGTTGATCCAGCAGATGATCCAGATGTGGGTCTGTTCTGGGCCCACAGTTTGTTCCCTGAGTTTTTCCTTGCAGCAGCAGGGGCGTCAGGGTTTCATGGCAGGAACCCTCAGCCTTTATCCCCACAGTAACCCTCTGTCTGATTCTCTGCTGCTGTGCAGAGGTCAAAGGTCAGCCTGCTGCAGACGCAGAGAGACAATCGTACAGCTGTGTCTGCCTGCTGACATCATACTTTCTTCTTCTTCTGTGGTTTTAGTTCTCAGAAAGAGGGGCTCGTGAGCTCCAGAGGTCAAAGGTGACAGTGGTGCCATCTACACGGTGTGTGGAGGCAGTTTGTTAATTGATCTTTAATTAGAGGATGCAGTTCAAAGAAACATTTAACGCCCCCTGCTGGAGGAATGAATGGTTACAGAGGCTGGCTCCTGTTGTGTGTGTGTGTGATCCAGTGTTTCTGGTTTTCTGGTTTCAGTGTGGGGTTAGTGAAGCAGCAGAACTTAAACCAGTTTCTGATGATATCTAAACCAGATCAATCTTTCACCTCTTTCTCTACCAGATGGACGACCGCCATCCGCCACTGCTGTAGGTCAGCAATGGCCCAGGTGTTTCCTGCTGGTGGAGGAGATGAAGCCCAGTCCGGACTCTGTGTTGGTCATCATGGGCTCCCTGGATGGAAGCACGCCGGTTGAGAGGCTGCTTTCTGCGATTCATCTGGAGAGGTCAGGATTGAGGAGTGCAGCATGAAATGGGGGAAAACCGAAACGGCACAATCATCAGATAGTTTGTGTGGCAATGTTGTATCGATACAGGGACTCCAAATATTGATATTCTATTAAATAAGTTAAAATACAGGCGGGGCCTCTCTGTGTGGAGTTTGCATGTTCTCCCCGTGTGTGCGTGAGTTCTCTCTGGCTACTCTGGCTTCCTCCCAAAGTCCAAAGACATGCAGTTAGTGGGGTTAGGTTCACTGGAAACTCTAAATTGCCCACAGGTGCAAATGGTTGTCTGTGCCTATGTGTCATCCCTGTGACAGACTGGTGGCCTGTCCAGGTTGTACCCTGCCTCTGGCCCTAAGACAGCTGGGATAGGCTCCGGCTGGATTGATGGAAATGAACATACTGGAGGGCTCGTTACCTGCACTGCCATCCGGAGATAATGTATACGTACTGAGCTCGCCAAAGCTACCTCCAAACTCAGAGCGAGCCGATGGCTCGGCCACACGAGGAAAATCAGGGCAGCATCCTCCTCACAGCTACAAAAACAGTGTGAGGTTGTCTATGATTGCCATGCATGGTTAGCTTGCGGCTTGTTGCTGCTGCACATTCACCGTTCTGCGATCGCACAGGAGACAACCTGTCTGCGAACAGCCTCAGGCTGACTGCAGTCATTCTCACAGACTGCTTTTGTACTTCAGAAATGCAGACAGATGAAAACACGTGGTCCTCAGTGTGACTGAGTGGGCTCAGCTGCCTACAGAACTGGGTGCACGTGTAACAGTTAAAAATGAACGTCTGTCCATGTCAATAAATGTGATTTTTAACACGTTATCACAGAAACTGACAACCAATCAAAGGGCAGCTCCCATCCAGCCAATCAGAATTACTTCAGGCTTCTGTCTTCCTGCAGGTACCTGGACACCTTCCATCGAGCCGGTCTCCTATTGGCTAGAGACTTCACACACCTTGACAGCGATGCATTGGTCAGTCTGGGCATAACTGCCACAGGACACAGGAAGAGAATCCTACGATTGGTCGGTTACATCGAGAGGACAGAAGGCCAAAGAGCCAATCGGAACGCAGATCTCCCTCGTGACCGCTGTCAGTCAGTTTGTTCTTCGAAGTGTGGTCGCACCGAGTCGCCCCGTCAGGAGGTGATCAGGAACAGCTCTGCTCCCGATCTCGCCGCCATGCTGGCAAACTCCGATGGCGGCAGGCCAACAGTGAAGCCGGTCCCCAAACCGAGAACTGTCTTCAATCGCCGCAGGACTGCGCCCATCCAGTTCACCCCAACACCCGACCCTGCTCCACCCCTACCCAGGAGGCTTTCCCAGGAGTCCATCTGCCTCACTGTGCTGGAAAGTCTGAGCTCAGCGGACATGCCCACAGCAGACAGTGCTTTGACCTCTGACCTCAGTGACAAGGCGCCGTCACCAAGCCGAAGGTCGAGCCATGGGGAGAGAACTGGGAATGGCCGCTGCAGGTCTCTGTCAGACACTGGAGGGTTACCGCCGGTTCCCCCGAGGCTGAACCGCATCGTCCCCCCCGCCTCGATGCAGGGGACTCCTCGCACTTCTTCTTCTTCCCCTGTTCCCACAGAGCATTTGCAGGCGCCGTCCTTCATTTCCTGCACGGGTAGTCATGACAACAGCAGGCTCTCTGGATCCTCCCCCTCCGCTTCTCCCCGAGGAGGAGGCCTAGAGATGGTCTCCAATGAGATATATTGGGGCACGTTACACAGCTCTGCTGCCCCCGGTGGGAAGAGGAATTATTGCAGCCAGCAGTCGGCTCCTCCCACTCCACCCAGACAGACACCTGAGAGGAACTGCGAGAGGAACAGGTTAGTCACCGTGATGCACCAGTATTTGGACCGAGGTACGTTCCAATACTCAGTTTCATTTAGCAAGGTTTGCAACTCGGTCCGAGCGGTCTGAAGTCTGCACCTCCTTTAGCGGAGGAGACACGTTCTTCATGAAAGCATCCCACAATTCATAGCTACAGACCATCTGATCATTCCTAAAAGCAATCATCTGGATGTTTTTGCATTAAAGCATCTTTCCTTCACCTGTATCGAGGTCAAGGAGGATGGGTTAGGAAAAGGAGTTTTTGCGTGTTCGAGCGTACCCCAGGATCCATGATATGTTTGTTAAAAATCAGTTTTTATGTGAAGGCCCAGGCCTGACATGATTCATCATTTTCACTGTGTTTGTTTCAGTGGCAGCACTTTAAGTAACAACTCTTCAGGATCAGCCAGAGGTGAGTTCAGAGCTCTGAGTCGCACAGAACAGCATAAAACCCAGGCAGGTCGAGCCTTGTCTGTAAGCTCTGCCTACAGGAAGACGTCATTACTCGTTTCCTGTCAGCCTGATCGAAACATAAAACTATTTTGTGACTGGTGTGTGAGACTCCTAGTTCCCAAGACAGTGCACGCACACTTGAGAACAATTTTCCCTCTAAGCTGCACGCACGCGCAATTGCGCACTGCTGTCACGGTGTCCGCACACAGAAAATCTGCAATGCACACAAAAAAAAAATCTAACCTGAATTGCAATGAAAATAAATACGTTAACAATTGATTCTGTTTTACAGTGTGAGTTTGTAAGTGACCGGCGACTGGCTGCTCCAGCCAATAATGCGATTCACATTCGTATATACGCAGCTAATCAACGTTGACAGGCTCTGACAGCGTCCTTATGTGCCAACACTGGTGTTTTAGCGAGCAAAGCGGCTGATGTGGAGTGAAGCCACGTTAATGACAACGTGTACAACCATTGGAGATGTGAGCAGGACAGACGGAACAACTGACGAAAAAAGTGTGGACTTTATACCAGTTTTTAAATTGTGTTGATCGGCCACGTAAAACCAGAGTTATGATAAAAATATCTGCAATGTTTGGTTTTGGTTTTCTTCCTGAATACTGTCGTTGTTTATATTTTATATAAAAACTGCCTGTGAGCAAAAACAACACCAAAAAAACCCCACCCTTTCCTATTGGTGGAAAAATGTACCATGTCGACCAATCAAAAAATGATATGGCAACATGGCATTTAGTTGTTTAGGAAGGGGGAAGTTTTAGGAGTGACGGCGGTGTTTTGAGATGTGAGAGATTTGCGTTTAGCACAAATCTTGTGTAGTTAGTGTGTAGTGTAGTCAATAGTTTTGTTGTGTGTGCCAGAACAATGAGGCGACTGCTGAATGTTACAGGTGTTACAGCAGTGATACATCTGCTGCTGTCAGGCCTGCAGGTATCAGGCTGTTGTTCTCCTTTATCTCATAGTGGACAGAAATTATTTTTTGGAGTGGCACAAATAATTTGTGTGGCATCAGATTTGATGCAGAACAGCTGATTGTTCTGTAAATAGTTTGTTTATTTAAAAAACGCCTTGGCTGCATTTTTAGGTAAACAGCTGCAAAAAACTTTGTTGTTTGCAAAACTCAGTTACTTTTTTGAAGAAGTAACTATATAATTAATTGCACACAGTTTATTTTAACTTTGACGTTATCAAATCAGAACAGACAGGGACGGGGCGCAGGTGAATCCTAACTCCAGTCATTTCTGTTTGGCAGCCTCCACGGACGACCCCGAGGACGAGATCAGCCCGTACTGTGAGACTGTTTTCCAGACCCGGAGACATCCTCCTGCCGCTGAGGTCAGACCGCCACTGCTCCTCCCCCTCACTGACAGAGACGCTCTTCTCACTTTCACAGGTCTGATAAAATGTGCTGCTTTGATCATTTATGTGCAGAGCGAGAGAAGCAGACATGAAGGAAGGGAGGCGAGGAAAGAGGAGAAGCACGCAGAGGATCATGGGTAAGGCGGCTACTCATCCTCATGAAACGAGACATAAACGTGGCGTTGGAACCGATTCAAAATGCAGAAACATTTGCACGAATTACTTTAATGGACGTGATGATGTCATGCCCACGCTGTCTGCTTCACGTGCGTTGATAGTTTTTTGTGTTTTCAGGGGTCACAGGTTCTCGTGGACGAAGCGTTTTTCGCAGCCGTTTCACCCCGGGGACTCGGCAGGTTACAGCACTGTGGGAGAAGCTCCACCCTCCCTCCGCTGCCTCTCGCTGCCCCACCACACCCTCCCCTGCGAGGCCGACGAGGACCTTACCATCTCCCCCTACGCCAGTTACACCTCCCTGACCGAGAGAGCCCCGCCCATCATTAGCAGCTGGCTGGACAAGCTGTCTCCGCAGGGGTGCGTTTGTTTCACACAGCTGATGGGGCCTGGATGTGGGAGGAGACTCTAAGTCTGACCCTGTTCTCTCTGTCTTTGTGGTTGGCAGGGGTCAGAGGTCATCTCTGCCCGTTCTGCTGTGTGTCCTTCTGTCTGCTCCTCCCTGTGTCTCCTTCCTCCTGAGGACATGCCTCTGCCTCGTCACTGTCCTTTCCTCCTCTTCCTACACTCGGTGTGTTTCCTTCCTTTCTCCTCTGCTTCCTTCCTTCCTTCCCTTACTGAAAGTCACTCAGTGTGGTGGAATTGGATGAAACCTAAATGTGTCTCCTCTTTTGTGTAAGTGGTAATGTGACCCTGGTGTGTGTTTGTGTTTTTCAGGAACTATGTTTTCCAGAAACGCTTCGTGAAGTTTGACGGCAAAAACTTGATGTACTTCGGCAGTGAGAAGGTACTCAGATCTTTATGATGTTGCCACCGTCCTCGTGGGACGAGCTTAGAATTTCTCATCCTGCAGGTCAGAGGCGTCGGTCACTCTGTGCCCTGCGTTCAGCCTGTCAGGCTTCGTGTTCCTAACGTAACAGTCACCCCGACAGGTTCAGGAGGGTGGGCCCTTGTTAGCATCCTCTCATTAAGCTCCTGAACATTTCAGAGCTTTATTGATCCCAGCAGAAGAAAGACAAAAAAAAGGAAACACTGCTATCACCGGAGCTTGTCGCCCTGCTGACCGCACAGTTTGGACTCATCTCCTCTGACCTGTTCTCTGTTTCAGGACGCCTACCCAAAAGGAGTCATCCCATTGGCTGCCATCCAGATGGCCCGTCCAGCCAAAGACAATAAATTTGAAATTGTGACGAGTCACCGGATCTTTGTGTTCAGGACGGATAACGAAGGTAAACACACGACATCAGATTCTCTGATTTTTCTCTTCTTGTTGTAAACGTTTTCCCAATAAAAACACAAAATGCAACAAAATTGAAGCGCCTTGAGGCGACTTTTGTTGTGATTTGGCGCTATATAAATAAAATTGAATTGAATTGAATTGAATTGAAAATTCAAGGTTGATGATAATGATGGTGTTGATGATGATGGTGGGGGTGATGATGGTGGGGGTGATGATGATGATGGGGGGATGATGATGATGGTGGTAATGATATGTGATGACATGGTTGTGATGTGAAGATGATGATGATTAAAGCGCCTTAAGGCGACTGTTTTGATCTCATGCTGTATGATAGTGATGATGACGATGATAAAGATGATGATGACGATGATGGTGGTTGTGATGATGATGATGATCATCATCATCACAACCACCATCATCGTCATCATGACCATGATAGTGATGATGATGATGATGATGGTCGTGCTGATGGTCATGATGATGATGATTGTGGTGGTGATGATGATGATGATGATGATGATGATGGTTGTGATGATGATGGTTGTGATGAGATGATGGTCGTGATGATGATGTTGGTCGTGAAGATGATGATGATTATGGTGATGATGATGATGATGATGGTCGTGACGATGATGATGGTGGTATTGACCATAATGATGATGATGATGCTGTTGATGATGGCAAAGCAGTTGATGTGTTTCCTGTGCGTCAGTGCTGCGGCGGCGCTGGGTGTCCACACTGCAGGAACACGTCAGAGATCAGCTGGTGTTTGGACGGCGGCGTTTTGGTCCTGGAGCTCACTGCCAGAAACATGGGGGCCTGGAACTCAAAGGAACAAAATCCAAAGTGTACGCTGCCATCAACACGGACCAGATCTGGCTCTACAAGAGCGAGCAGGTGAGGGCGCCACCAGTTGACTTCCTGTGACTTTCTCAGGGTCCTGTGACTATTTCACTTCCCATGTTTCTCCAGTGTTTCCGTAACGGCATCGGCATCACGGTGATCGAAGCTCGCGGAGCAACGATCCGAGATGGAAAACACAAGAGCTTCGACCTCATCACGCCGTATAAAACTTTCAGGTGGGTGAGTTGAAGCTCAGCTCAGCTGCTGCTTGATTTTGTCAGTACTGTCTGCAGTTACCAGCCTCGCTGACGCTGCATCAATCAAACTCTTGAAAAAGACTCAGGTTTGAGTCTCTGGGCTTTCCTGCTCTACAGATCAAACTGAGTCCTGCCCTCAGCAGCGGGTCGCTGAATGAGAAAAATCTCTTATTGTCCCACACAGTTGGAGTTCTGAGTAATTCTGTTTTAATAAGAATGCTGAGACAAACAATGTAGATGTCGTTAAATGACCTTTGCTGCGCCTCCTCAGCTTCACCGCAGACTCAGACCGGGACAAACGGGACTGGATGGAGGCACTGCAGGAGGCGATCGCAGAGACTCTGTCAGATTACGAGGTGGCCGAGAAAATCTGGTCCAACCGCTCCAACAGGATGTGCGCGGACTGCAAGGCCCTGAACCCCGACTGGGCCTCCATCAACCTGTGTGTGGTCATCTGCAAGAACTGCGCAGGTACGACCTGCTCTCGAGGCTCGACATCTTCACTGATACCAGAGTCAGAGTCCTCTTTCTCTGCTGTCAGTTTAGCTTTGATCTAATGACGGCGGCGGTCAGCTGTCAGCTAACATGAGCTAGCATGACAGAAACACATTTACAACTTGCAGCAAAAGCCTACATTTCATCTCATCCGCCCATCCATCTTTTATTTACAGTCTGTGTCATCACACAGAGAGAAGCACACTGACTCACATTATCTGGGACATCTGGTTAGGCAGGCCAGATGTTATCTCTTACCTGTCACAACAGGTAACAGTGGCCCAGTAACATTCCCAACAAGCAGCAACTAACAAAGCAGAAATGTAACCAACAACAACTGTAAGAACCTAACAACACGCACACACGCACGCACACACAGGTTCCCCACAGATCACCAGGGAAGCTGCTCTGAAGTCAGGAGGTCAGCATGGAGACCTGCAGCAGAAAGAAAAACACCACATGTTGAAGGTGAGGTTGTTTCTGTGGCTCACTGAAAATATCAGGCCAATAAACACACCTGCACAGGTAAACAGGAGCCTGTTTACCTGTGCAGACACGAATCACTGCAGGTGAAACTGCCACTTAGGAGACAAGTCTGTTAAGACTGCAAGATCGTCACCAGGTGATACATTGGTATTGTGCTAGTGTTTGGAGAAGTCAGTGATGAAACACACCAGTGTGTGTCACAGCTGTGTTTCCCACTGTGTGTGTGTGTGTGTGTGTGTGTGTGTGTGTGTGTGTGTGTAGGCCAGCACAGAGGGCTGGGCACGATGGTCTCCAAGGTTCAGAGTCTGAAACTGGACACGAGCGTGTGGAGCAACGAGATCGTTCAGGTGAGAGCGGCTTCAGGTGGCCTCTCGATCTGAGGTTGGTGTCAGTGCGGCTCTCTGCTGTTACAGGCTTTCAGCTGTAGGGGGGTTAGTGGCAGGTGTAGTCTAACATCCACCTTTTCTTATGAAGTATTCACCTGTAAAGGTGGAAAAGCTTATTAAAGGACACTGAAGCTACTGAGAATGTGACAGAGAAGCTCTAAAGTACCAGCTCGGAGCAGCCGGTTCAGGACCAGCATTCACAGACGCCTGAAAGCAGAGCCGTGCTGTTGTGTTTGTTTGTTTGCTTATACTGTGTGTATGTTTGTGGGCCAGCTCTTCATCATGCTGGGGAACGACCGGGCCAACGACTTCTGGGCAGCCCGTCTGTCCGTCTCTGAGGAGTTGGACTGCGATGCGTCGGCTGAGCAGAGGAGAGAGTTCATCGCCCAGAAGTATCGCGAGGGTCGATACCGCCTTGCCCACCCGGCGTTCAGCAGCCAGGAGGAGCTGCTCAAGGTTTGCCCGACTGCTTTCATGAAATAAATACACTTAATGTTGGCATGCTGGGGTGAGAAGGGCCACAACAGGACGGGTCACAAAGGTTCGTGCGTGAAATAGCTTCATGCAGCTTTAACTACAGCTGCATGCAGCTGCAACTGTGAACATAACTGAAGCTGGTTAGGACGCTGTAATGCACACATGTGGTGTGTGCGGTGTGGTGCTGGGAGAGCGCGTCAGCCTCATAGATCGTAATGTTGTAGATGAGGTCAGACTCAGACCGCAGCAAATCATAAGCAGCTGCTCTTTGTGTGGGGGGAGCCTTTTTCCAGAGTGCACAGGGGCTCAGCGACCAAATGTTTAAAGCATCAGAGACGAAGATAAAAGCAGCCGATAGATAAAAACAGGAGGCTTTGACTCACTCACACCTTTCATCTAAAAAAACTTCTGCATCAAAAGGTCAAAGGTTACCCTGATCAGCTGACATGCTGATCCAAACATTTAAAGCCTTAATAAACAATCACGAAACAGAATCACAGCAGCACAGCCATGAGTCTGTCTCAGACACGCAGACACTGAGTTACTGTCAGTCTATAGTACATCTGTGACATCATCAGAAGATGGCTCCTGCATTTGTGTGTCCGGGTTCGCAGGGCCTGAGGTTTCCATGGCAGCAAACAGCAATAACAACGATGATGATGGTGATAGTGTGCAGAGATGGTTCTGGTGTTGACGATGATGCTTCGTGTCTCCAACAGGTTCTGTGTTCAGCCGTCTCTGAGCAGACTCTCCTGAAAACGGTGACTCAGATTTTCTCAGAGGCGGAGTCAGCTCACCTTGCCAACGACTCCAACGGCCGCCACCCCCACCTAGCGGATCACTGCAGCACATCAGGTTGGACTCTACTGTGCTCTGCTGTACTCTAATGCACTCTGCAGTGTTGAGCTGCGAGGAAGCAGGGCGTTGTATTTGATCCGATTAAATTCAACATGTGAAGTCGGTGACTGAGCTCGGTGCGGAGCAGCGTTGGCGCTGAAGGTCAGCCGCTCCGTTATCAGCGCTGTCCTGCAGGGAGGCTTTCTCCCTGTCACGCTCGGCTTCACTGAGCAGTTTTCCGAGTGTTGGCTCAGCAGAAGAACACCTGCGTCAGTGTCAGTTTGCTCCAGACGCAGCAGTGCAATATTTCTCTTTCGTTGATGTGATTGGCTGACGGTGTTTATCTGATAATGTTGTGCTTTTATCGGTCAGATCCCAGCGTCTACGATGAAATCATGCAGCCGGTTCTTCACTCTGGGTACCTCTACAAGTCGAGCTCTGCCAACAGAGGAACAATGTCCAGAAAAAACAGAGAAGGTAGGAAGAGGCGGGGTCAGAGGGTTTAAGGTTTAAACAGTCCTCAGATCAGAACAAAGAGGCCTCCAACACCTGCCAAAATTCACCCAAACCAAAAACTGTCAGAGACGTTTTCAGGTCTTCAGCAGGTTTCTGCTTCAGTGTTCAGGCTCAGAGCACAGGGCGGGATGTTAGCTGTGTTAGCTCACAAAGGCTGCTGGCTTGGTAGCACAGACCAGGACGTTGTAGCACGAGCTTGAAATGTGGTGTTTTTTAACGTCATCTCTTTTCAAACATCTCGTTTCCCACAACATAAGGATTATCTGATTTCTGAGCAGTGCTGACAAAGTAAAAGTTGCTCCTTAGACGTTTATTCAGATTGTGGTTTTGTTTCGTCCCGACGGCTGAAGCGCAGCTTCCAAACTCCATCAGATTCTCTGAGCCGTGTGCGCACTGGCAGCAAACACAAAGGAATTCTGGGAATTCTTGTGGAATTTGAGGCTACGCTGATACGATAACAATCAGAGCAGACTACAGCCACTCTGTAGCATCGTGACGTAGCTGTCGACGTATGCAGAATCATTTGTGGCACTGACAGTTTGCTTCACCGCCCGCCTGTGAGCAGCACTAATGTTGCAGATGAAGAGGAGGGGAATGAACATTCATAGCTGAGTCTCGTGTAAAATTCTCTGTTCTCATCATCAGACTTCCAGAAGTTCTGGTGCTCGGTGGATCAGTCTCTGGTCTTCTACGAGTCGGATCGATCAGCTGATCCCAGCCTGCAGATCAGCGCTAAAGACATCGTGTGTTTGGGCGTCAGTCGACCCGACTCCTCCAACAACAACGGATTCATTGACAGGTTTTTATTCGCCGAGCTCCACGGTTAAACGGAAAGCTCAGATGGTCAGCCTGGTCAAACTCAAACTTTTCTCCCTCAGGTTTCGTTACACCTTCGAGTTGTATCTGACGTCGGAGAAACTCTTTCAGTTTGGCTTGGAAGCGTCCGACGAGCTGCACAGCTGGACCAAAGCCATCGGAAAGGTCTGCGCCGCATTTCGTCTGCGTCCTCCTCACAGAGCAGCTGAACACGTTTGTTCTGCTGTTCATGTTACAAACAATCAAATAAATAATGTTACAAAATTGTTCTAACACAAAATATTTTCCCTAAAAACTTCCTTGAATAAAAAACTAATCCATGTTTGTGCTGTGACCGTCACCAGGCTGCCACGCCACTCAGCTGTCACTGCCTGCTGACCCGAGAGTTTGAACGGGTCGGGCTTCTACGGTACCGGGCGATGCTGGACCCTCAGCAGTGGAAGGAGGCTTACTTTGTCCTGCAGAAGTCCAACCTGTTCATCTGTCCCCGCAACGACGGCGCCGCCGAGGACATCATCAACCTCAACCGCCTGCAGGAGCTGAGTATGTGTGCTGGTCCCCGTCCGGGTCCTGATGAATAGTTCTGATGGAGTCTGATTGTTATTGACGGAGCTCTCTGTGTTCAGGTATCACCTCCGAGATGGAGAACCAGGAGAAGAAAGACATCCTGGTCCTGGTGGAAAAAGGAAGGTGAGTGTTTGTCTGGTCCAGGCTTCAGTTTGTTGTCTGCTTCACATTTTGACGCACATGCGTTCGGTGTTCCCGTCAGAACGCTCCACCTGCAGGGCGTCGGTCGCGCAGACTTCTCTCTGTGGTACTCCGACATTCAGCGAGCAGCCGGCGGTAAAGGAAACGCTCTGAGAGACCAGCAGATGAGCAGGAACGACATCCCCATCATCGTGGACAGCTGCATCGCCTTCATCACACAGTACGGTGAGGAAGACTGACAGACAGACTTTCCTTGTTGGTAAGGCTTGGGGTTAGGAGACTGTAGCTACGCCACTGTGGGCTCTGCTGCTGATGGAGGATCGTCTGATTAAACTGAACTGAAGAGGTGGAGGAAGCTTCAGGTCTCAATGGTGACAGGACAGTGAACAGAGCCTCTAACCCTCCTCAGGTCATTTTAAATAAATGAAAGTTTTTGGAAAAATGCACTTCTGAAGTACTTTTATGGCACCGTGCTCACTCACTCGTGAGCTGCTGCAACATGAATCAAATGGCTGAATTGCCACCTCAGCATGCAGGCAGCTTCTATAGAGTCTTGCTAATGACCTGCTAGCTGTATTCAGGTGTGTTGCAGCAGGGACACATGGAAAAGTTTCAGGACAGCGGCCCTCGAGGACTGGAGTTTGAGTTAGACGATACAGTCCACATACTTCCTTTTGACCCTGGGGCCTAACCATGTAAACACTGGATTTCAAAGGATGTGAAGACCTTTTATTCGCTCACACATGAGAAAACGATCATTTAAAGACTGATTATCATCTTAATAATTCAGACTATTTTAGATATCTCCAATTGAGGACCTACTTCCAGCAGAACATTGTCACCAGAACTGATCTATATGATCCAATACTGATCCTTCTTCGTGGAAACAGGTAAGGCTGCGAGGGTTTTGACAAAGAAGCCTCACTCTACGGGCTGTGATAAAGAAAATGAAGGAAACATTTCAATATTAAATGAAGAATCGTTGGACGAATGTTCGTCCTTGTGGAAATGTACAAATTCCAGTATATGTCCAGCTGGAAATGTCTGATGCGTTTTTTCATCTGGACACAGGTACACTGTTGGAGGTTAGGTGGGCCGTTGGCACATGTTTTGGGGCTTCCCTATTATTAAACCCGTTTGGCTTGAGTAAAACTTTAGTCAGTATATTTAAGGTAAATAACATACCTTTATAATTTTCTACCATACTCGTCTGCTGGGAAAGGTGCTTCTAGCAGGTGATTAACCCAAGCAAACCTGCGCTCCTCCCCGATGAGCTGCTTGAGTTTAGGAGGAGGAGGAGCAGTGTGTTAGATGCATTGTGAAGCCTGAACCTCACTGCACGGTTCTTCTGCCGTTGTCATCAGGACGACTTCCTGCCGGGTTGAACTTGGCGTGTTTTTCCCTGCAGGATGTTTTAGAGCCAGAAGAAAAACCCTGCAGAACAGCTTATGTGTGATTTTACTGTTTCTGCTGATAAATGATGTGCTCAGATGTGATGAAAGGGGCACACAGCTCTGTTCCCCTGGTTTCTCATGTCAGGATAACAGAGCCGTGTGACCGAAGCCGTTCTGGGTCTGTGCAGGTCTGGGTCACGAAGGCATCTACAGGAAGAACGGAGCCAAATCCAGGATCAAGCTGCTGATGGAGGAGTTCCGCAGAGACGCTCGAAACGTCAAGCTGCGGATCGGGGACCACTTCATCGAGGACGTGACCGACGTACTGAAGAGGTTCTTCAGAGAGATCGATGACCCAATCTTCATGGTCGACCTCCACCCACTGTGGCAGGAAGCTGCCAGTGAGTCCACCTTTCTTCTGAGCGGTGCTTCTGCTGTCAGAGTTCAGGTCCAGACCACAACCCGAACATCACCTGGTTTTACTTAGATTTCAGGGACGGTCGGCGGTACACCTTCAGCTGATTGTAATTTGTCTAAATGAGTGATTGGTGTGAGTGATTGGTGTCTGTAACGAGTTTGTTCTTCATGCTTAGAAATCCCTCAGAGGCGTGCGAGGCTGGACCGTTACAAAGACATCATCTGCACTCTACCCCGAGTCAACCGGACCACCCTGGCTGCTCTCATCAGTCACCTGTACAGGTGAGCTCCCTAAGAAGCTGCACCGGTTACACCTGGTGGGGGTGGGGCTTAGGAACTTGCCTTTTTGTAGAAAACAGCAGGTGAGTGTAGAACACTGAGCCAAACGATGAGTCTAAAGAGGTTACCTGCGGTTCTTCAGGGTCCAGAAGTGCGCAGATCTGAACCAGATGTGCACCAAGAACCTATCGCTGCTCTTCGCTCCAAGTCTGTTCCAGACGGATGGGAAAGGTGAGCATGAGGTGAAGATCGTGGAGGACCTGATAGACAACTACCTGTACGTCTTTGAAGTGAGTAAGCCGTAGGGGCACGCCAGAACGTTCTCCTGTGTGTGACGTTCTCCTCTCTGTGTCATGTTCCCCCGTGTGTGACGTTCTCCTG